GGCGGCTCAGGACTTAGAATAAATCAATGAGCTCAAACTGCAGAGGAGAGCCAAGCTAGCTAGATCTGCCCTGCCGACACCAGCCTGCTTCACCCACCCCTGGCCTACCGCAGATGTCTCAGAAACAAGTGTTTACTGGGATATGTCATTGTGATTTTTGTGGTTGTTTGTTACAAAACAACAGCTGACTGAGGCAATAGTGTTCTCATTTGAGAAAATACCTCAGATGGTTTGTCCTTAGGTTTAATTAAGGTGAAAGGACTGAACGTTTGTATGGTTTTACTTACATGGTCACATCTCAGATATACTTCATTCATACCATCAGCAACAGGGATTAGTAACTTGATTCCAAATTTTCTTCCTGCTACATTCACATCTGGCACAACTTCACAGCCTGAATAACAAAAGGCAGGGTCACAACAGAGTTGTGGAGAATGTACTAAATAAATATCAGGTGTGCATCTAAAAGAAAGACTTTGAAAAAAACCCCTTAGATTTTGGTCTCTTCTAAGAAATGGAGGAGCAAGCTGTTAACATTAATTAAAGGCTAAGTAGATAAGACTTACAAACAAGTAACATGGATAGAGAAAAATATTTTCTTTTATGATTTTAAAAAATATATCATCAATTGAATTCAGTTTTAAGATTGATTTGGCTATCCTAACCTATAAGAACCATTATGAATGCGAACTAACTCATAGGAACAATTATGAATATGAACTTCAAAATAAATCAAAACCCAGGAAATTCTCTGATTGCCATAACGATCACGGAATTGAGTGTAGGGTTAATAAAATATTTCAACTAATAGAGTTACCAGGACACGCACAGTCACTTTCAGAAATTAGAATAGGCATTAAAGCAACATTGAATTAAACATAACTGTTCGTTGAATTAAACATAACGGTTCTGAAATTCAGAAAGCTTATCAGGAGCCTACAATGTATTGTACTTATGACACCAATTACCACCACTTCATAGATTTGAACACACTGGGAAAGAAGAAACTGCAGACTATAAATAACCATGTTTATTAAACCACATTCCAGGTTCATGTGCCAGAGGGGGCCAGAGCTGCGGGCAGGGGCCTTTTGAACACAGGGGCACACTGGAAGTCAACCTCGCTCCCCTGGGTAGAAGTCTTGGCTTTCATTGGCTTGCTGGGTCATGACAAGCCACAGCGATGTAGAGCCCACTTACCTCTAAGATTTAACTTTTCTACTGGTTCTCCTTCTTCAAGTTCCTTATTTTTAAAGTAGGTTATAGACGTGTCTTTAAAGACAAACCAATATTGTTTGAAAGCTTTTAATATTAGCTTCTTGGGCCTGCAAATGAAAGCATAGGAAATGTTGAAACAACATCCAGAAATGTAGGAAACATTGCACATTTCAAGCACATCAAAACTCACTTTCAAACAACATATGCTTTATCTTTAAAAACAATTTGCAAATTGCCAAGTCATTTCTAAAAATGAGAAATGGGGGTTGCTCTGAGATATAGAGGTTAATAATAAGTGCTAAATAAATAATAATAATAATTGTGAGACACATCCATGAATCTGTGACATATAAAATTTCCAAACACTTCTTAGATCTGAAGGAACTGTCATTGTGAACTGCATAACCTTCAAGTTGTCAGACATAAATATCAGATATCAAAGTAGGTAACCTCTTCTGTAGTTTCCTCTTGACCCTTAAGAGAAATCACCAGAGAATTCCCGGTGAGCCATGGAAAGCACTAAAACCTACAGCTAATCTATACAGACTCTATTTGGGGGGAAGATTTCTAACAGTGATATCTTTGGGGGCCAGAAAACGTTGCTCACTTAGCACATTAGACTTTTATTATATAGGATTTATGAAGATGTATTTGTGGATTCAAATTATTACTGCTTTTCTGTAGCTCTATCACAATATGCACGGTTGCAACTATTAATGACCCTTTAGTTTGAGACCACATCCTATGATCACATTTTAAAAAGAAAATAAACCTGTAGAACAAGCATGTCAAACTCGAGGCCCATGGGCCACATGTGGCCCACAACAAATATTTGTGTGGCCCAGTCAATATAATGGTATGTAAGAAACATTTTAATAAAAACTTCATAACTTAATTTTTACAATATCCTGTTATACATGATTATTAATAACGAACTACAACACTCACTAATGACTGATTACTATAATTGTGTTGCATTTATTTCCCTTACACGCCTTACATGCAGGCGCACCATTTCTCTCCACTAATACTTGCAGCAAATATTTTAGTAGCTGACTGCCACATCATTAGTCTTGGACTGACTTGTTTGGTGTGTGCAACAGGAAATACTTTGCTTTTGGAGAAAAAGAAAAATAGGTTTATTTGCATTATGCTTATTAGTTTGTGCAGTTATTCAGTGTCTGGCAAGTTAATGTTCAAGAAGAAATATTAATTTTTATTAAAATGTTCTATTATTTTACTTTAACAATTACTTATTTATTTCAGCCCTTTGTATTCAGCATGTCTCTATTGAGGTAAACCTACGTTTCTATGAAAATTGAAGCTTCTGTTTTTTTGCGGCCCACAGAAACTTAAACCTTGTTTATCTGGCTTGTGTTAGCCTGTGAGTTTGACATGCTTGCTATAGAAACTCAGGGGCAAACCGTTGGGTTCCTTTTTCTCATTTATACCTGATTCATTTTCATTCTTTCTAAGTCTTTCTTTGCATTCCGTATTATCAAAAGCAACTGGTTTCCAAGCCAATGACCCCGTGAAGTGTTGGTTTGTTATTAAGTCAACAAACCATGAAGTGACACAGTAACTGACAGAACTTCAAAGGGACCTTATCCCTTTCATCCTAACACACCTTGGCACCATCACAGCTATGGCAGTCCTTTTTTCCCCATGAAATAAAAACTTCTCTGCCTTTTTAACAGTTTTTGATGGACATGAGGTGATGGGGGGACGAGGGGGTTAATCAGAAATAGGTAGGTAACTAAGGTTATCTCTCTATAAGCCTGAGATCCAAGTTCTAGAGGCAATTGATTTTCAAACTGTGAAAGAACCGGGAAATGGTGTCAGAGTTGAGCCTCCCAGATGGACGGTCACAGAAACTCCAGTCTGACATCTGTGTTCGTTCTGGCTGACCCTGGCCATGTTTAGACCATATACTATGAGCCAGGCCCCATGCTCAGTGCTTCATATGTGTTATTTAATCTTCTCAACAAACTCAGGAGGAGGTATACCCTTATTTTATAGATCAGGAAACGGAGGCTCAGAGACAAAAGGACAGCTCCCAAGGTCACCCAGCCAGCGTGTGCTGTGGAGCTAGTATCGGCCCGTTGTCTGTCTGATGCTCTTATCTTTGAACCATGAATCTGCTTGCAGTGGTTCTCAACCTTCCTAATGCTGCGACCCTTTAATACAGTTCCTCATGTTGTGGTGACCCCCAACCATCAAATTATTTTCGTTGCTACTTCATAACTGTAATTTTGCTACTGTTATGAATTGTAAATATCTGATATGCAGGATGCATTTTCAGGGGTCTCGACCCTCAGGTTGAGAACCGCTGGCTTAATGGATCTTCAATTTAAACTCCCGGACTCTTTACCTATAAGGCTTTGTTATGAGTAATCCCTTTTCCCTTTAAGGATGACTTACCTAAATAATTTGAGATTATCTGCAAGTTTAGGGATGTCAGTGATGTCCTCCTAAGGAAAAATGTAATATTTCATAAGCAGTGATTAGACACGTGGTGCTGATCCTTTATACCTGTACTGCTCAACGCTGTAGCCACACACCACGTGTAGCCATTTGAATTTGAATTAATTACAATGGTATAAAATGACAAACTCAGTTCCTCAGTCACACTAGCCACACATCCAGTAGTTGCCTTGGGGGAGGGGGACGGGGGGTGGAGCAGGGTTAGGAGTGGGATGGGGCACGTGCAGGGGCCTCTGTGGTGGCGGCTGGCCAAGTTCTGGTTATTGGTTTGATGGTGACTTGGGAGAGAATTTAATACTCATTTGGTAGGCTGTACATTTCTGGTTTTCATTTTTCTGTATATGTCACATATCACACAAATGAGAAAAAGAGATTAAAAATTTAACCAAGCATGCCCTCTGCCTACCATTCAAGTGAAACATTTGAGTTAGAAACAACTACTTTTACGTACAAACAGAAGTATTTTACAACGTGGGCATCAGAGTGAGTAACCCTAGCTACACCTGGTTTACTGATTAAACTCTCCAAAGGTACCTGGTTCAAAGTTCATTCTACAGTGTAGGTTGGTGCTTGTTTTCAAACTGAAAAGCCTATTGTTTGACATCACAGAGCCTTGACAGAAAATATCCTGAGGGCGGGAGGAGGGAAACTTTCATCTATTCTAAGAAGGAACACTTTCCTGTTGTATGTATTTAGTGGTGGAAGTAGACAAAAAAAGAACTCCACTTTCATGGGGCGGGTGTCTCCTATACACGTGAGGAGGCTCTGACTCCCTGCAGAACCTTGGTTTGAGTTTGTTTCAGGTATTTAGTTTTGCATGAACCAACTCCCTCTGTTAAGGACTTCAATCACAAGCGAACACATATTAAATACATAAGAATACAGTGACTCACTTTTATCAATTACTTTAAAAAAATCTAATTACTATGGATCCAACTCTCTGAATCAATGTGGTTAAGCCACTTCCGTGATTAAAGAAGTTAAACAAAAGTGTGGCACCCAACAAATGCATCACGCAGTGGGGCATCCCCATGGTAAAGCTGACATTCAGCCACATGTCATGGGTAAGGAGCAAAACACGATCAACCTGTATCACTTCTTTACGTTTTACCAAAGTCAAAAGCGTTCAGGAAATGTTTATAATGTTCCAGAAAAAGGCCCTCACTTCTGTCAGCCTTGCCAGTGGAAAGGTAATCAGGGGTGGGGACCATCCGGCCCATGAAATTACTTGGTCTGGTGTTGCCAAGGCCTCAGGGGTGAGTTAATTAAATGTCTGACCAAATATAACAGGCTAATTTTTAAGTTAATAATTTTGTATGGCCTGTGAATAATGTTATAAATATCCAAATGGCCCTTGGCAAAAAAAAAAAAAAAAAAAAGAGGTTCCCACCCCTAAGGTAAATAGGTAACAAGGCTTTGTTACCTGTAAGGCATTCTCTCTATTTCCACAGCTGCCCCATACAATAGACTGAGGGTTCTTTCTAGTCTTAAGGAACCAATTCCACGTTCCATGTAGTGAAATGGAGTCCCCAGCAGTCTTTCTCTCATACCAGGCCAACTCATCCCAAAGAAGACAAGTGAAATGATAGTATTGTCATTAGTGTAATGAGAATACTGCATAGTCCCTTACAGAGCTGACCGGGGAAAGCTGGTCAGTTCTGGCTAGATTTAAGCTTGTCAGATGACCAGCATGTTTTCTTTTCTCAAATTCAGACAAAATACTCTCTTATTTCTGATAAAAACCAAAATGTCACCTACATTGGTTAGCCAGAACAAAGCCACAATTCGGAGTTATCAGAAAAGTCCATACCAAAGTGTTGTCCGCTTTTCCACCTTCTAGGGTCACTTCCAAATTAGAAAGTGCTGCTTCCACTTCATCGACCTCAGACTCACTTGTGAAGTCCTGTATTTCAGCGGACGACGACAATTTGCTAATGTGATACTGCAGAGAAACAGGTTTTAGAAATGGTTATAAGCACAATAAATCCGTTAGCCAGTTCTTCCTTTTATTGGAGACAACTCCCCCGTAATACCAAACATCTCCACGGAGATCTCCCTCCTGTGCAGAGAAAATGACATTTTAACCTGAATCAGAAATTCTGAGATCTAGGGTTGGTCATGTTCAGATTCGGCTCTTCTACATCACTGGCTGAGTTTGTATTGGGGGAAAGTCAGAATTGCAAGACTGATGCTTTACATCAGTTATACACATGTGTGTACAAGGAACATTTAAAATTCTAATTCAGCCCTAACCGGTTTGGCTCAGTGGATAGAGTGCTGGCCTGCGGACTGAAAGGTCCCAGGTTCCATTCTGGCCAAGGGCATGTACCTTGGTTGCGGGTACATCCCCAGTGGGAGATGTGCAGGAGGCAGCTGATCGATGTTTCTCTCTCATCGATGTTTCTAACTCTCTATCTCTCTCTTCTATCCCTCTCTTTCTCTCTATAAAAAAATCAATAAAATATATTAAAAAAATAAAATTCTAATTCACAAAAATTTCCAAAAGTCAAGATGGAAGGAAGCGGAGCGCGAGCG